GTATTTGACCGCTCAGCTGGCCGGTAATACACCCTGTGACCACCATATCAATGAGAGGGAGCAAGGGGAGGGGTTAGAATTTGAAATACAATTTCAATTTGATATATATCAAGATGGGAGACAAATTTTTTCCATTGGTTTTGACTTGTACATTTTTCTAAAATTTGTTCCTGGTATAGTGTTATAATTTTCATTGATTCCATTTTTATATGACATTTCTTGGGAAAGAGATGGGTTTAACATGGACCATATATATGTGTTTTTATATCGGCGCTCGGGTTTTTACTTTTTTAATGACCATTTTTGCCAAATTAAAAATAGCTTTTTATATTTTGCAATTCAGCTCATTTAATAAGAAGTTGCCATTTCGGATTTGCATCGACCTTCATTTCGACAGTAACATACATATTTTGCATAGAAAGAAAAGAAAGCAGTCTGAATAGATTATAAGAATACATGCGCACTTTTTAACATACTTATTTCAAGAAAATTTACACTTTTATTGGAGTTCTTGGCCATAAAAGGTTACAAGCATTTTTGAAACTGAATATTTGACAAATTTTTTACTTTATCTTCTTCTAAAATTTAAACTGGTGATAATTATTCCAGCTGCACCCTTGATTTACATCAAATAATACCCAAACCGCTTATCTTAATCCATTCTAGAATATTTTACCGATTAATGAGACAGATTGCGACAAAATATTAGGGACATTTATTTTCAAACGTGTGCCAAATTTTAATAACTAAAGATCACAAATTAAGATTTACTACAGAACAATGAGAATAATAATAATAATAAAGAATAATAGGATTCGGCTAAAAATTTGTCACTTGTTTATTTTCAACAACTTCTGAGAAATTTTAATCTTTTTAAAATGTGTGTAGAAGGAACAGTTCTTCCTAGAAACCTCTCTGCTACATAATCAATACATTTGGCATCTACTATATATATATATATATTAATATATACTTGCTTGCTTGTCTGTTTATTTGTTTTTAACCGATAAACGTCAAAACGGCTAAACTGATCGGGCCCAAATTTTTGTTTTACCTAACTTCACCCCATGGGGAAGGTTTATGAAACATCAATATTGGAAAATAAATCCTGTAAAACAATTTACACTTTACCTACATATTTTATGCTCCTAATCATTTTTCCTTTAAAATCAGAAAGATTAAAGACGATGTTAGATATTTTCCCAAAGGATTTTTCCCAAGTTTCTCCCAAGAATATTTTCCAAGTGGGAACTTCCCAAATTTGCAATTTCCCAACCGGTAACTTCCCAAGCCTGTCCTAGCCGCAAAGCTCGGCCCCCTAGTCTGTTCTAGCCGCAGCACTCAGCCTATCCTAGTCGCCGCGCTTGGCCCCCATTGCAGCCTGCGCCGCCTCAGAGGGTCAAACCTAACCTTTGGGAAGTTGCCACTTGGGAAATTGCACACTTGGAAAGTTGTCACTTGGGAAATTGTCACTTGGGAAATCGCCCTTGGAAAAATGCATACGGGAATGTACCCAGCACCATAAAGACAACATATTTTTAAAAAAAGTAACCATTTAGCTAGGAAACTAAAAGTAACTGACAGTGATGCTAAAATCAGCCCCCCCCCCCCCAACATTTTGTTGAGTTTTTGTTTGCTCGAATTTACCTTTTAGGTTTAGGGTGTCCCACAAAACATGAAAGTAGCCAGACGTATTGAAGGTCGTCTTTGATTTTTAAAAAAAGCTATGGCATATATTCGTAAACCTAATGTTAAAAGTAAATTTCTAGAGTTTATAATCACAAAATACCAGTCTTGGCATTTCCTAATGTTGTCTGCTTTTTTGTGCGTTCAATAATACCAACTAACGATCTATTTAGGTTTTAGCCTGTCAAACCTTATTTCCTGCTCCCTCGTGTATCAAAGCCTGTTGGTCTGAAAATAGAACTCCTCATGTCTCAAGACTATTAGCCTGAAAATAGAACTCCGGGGTCAACTGTGGTTTGGCTTTTCCATGTGTTGAATCACGCGTTAGAAACATATTTTCCTGGATGTCATCTTTTAAAGGACACAAATATTACAATACTTTATACACGGGGCGCCACCCCATTGCTATGTCAACTACAGGCATATTTACAAGTAAGCCTCTTTACATGGTTACAATAGAGTATTTGCCAAAAAACTATAACTCTGTTAGATCAAATAATCTAAGTTTGAAATATTGAAGTTGAGGGACCTCTTGAAGTTGTACACCAACAGGTTACAAAAATATCGGGATTACACATTTTTATATTTTGGCGAAGACTGAATTGTTTTACTTTAAAAAAGTGTGCTTGGAAGAAAACTATACAACAAGTCTTTTTACTAGATTTCCCAAAAAGCAGTATATTGTTGAAATGCATTATTCAATGACTGGAATTGGGGCTTAAAAATAGATTTAAGTTGGAATTTCTGTTAGACAAACCTGACACCCCCCCCCCTAAAAATTTTTTTTTTAAGTTGTTGGTTTTACACAGAAGATAAGATGGTATTGGTCTGCTGGGCTAGTATACCTACGTGGCATAACTCTTCTGGTTATATATATATTACTCCGGGGGTCTCCGATACATACTCAGGGGGTCTCCGATACAGAGCCATGAGAACCAGCGGAGTATTCCGTCCGAACCCTTCAGTTGGATTAGAATCCTCTTCAGGACTATACCAGGGACTCAGGCCTTCATTTTTTTTAAATTTTATTTCCATAGATCACATTTTTTTTAACTTTTAACTTTTGAACTTTTAGGTTAAATTGTGTGTATCAAATTTTCAAAAGTTTTAATAAAGAGGTTCCAATGTGTTTATATCTGAACCCTTGAGCTAACTGCCTAGAAGTGGGTAAAGTATTTAGAATGAATTCAGTTCTCAGGAATTTCACCCTGTCCCGTTTGGGCTATTTTTCTCTAATATAGATGGGGGGGGGGGATCCCCTTTGATTTTGCCCTTAGAGAGGAGATAAGGGAGTGTGATACATGCAGAGGGCGGACATGTCATGTATGTTTGTCTGTACCAAAAGAGTGTGTGTAAGTAATACCGAACAAAAGGCGTGTGCTGTATATACAGTACATAAGAATGTCTTTATGTGTACAGTCTAGAAGAGTACATTTGTTTATTGTTAATTGTTAACTTTAAAATAAGTTTAATATAGATGTAATATATTATGTATATTTTCTTTTCATGCAAAGAATATAATTTGATAAAAGTTTACAATAAACAACTCGTTATTACAGCTAATTATAATTGACGACATTGTTTTATTAGTAAATAAAATTTTTATTTTTTGAAACACAGACCCGCCGTTTGACCGTCCTCCACCATACCCAATGCTTAAAAAAATGCAACAGAGGGGGTGCCCCTAATCGTGACAGGGTTTAGGGTGATATTTTTTTATTGTTTTGGATGTACATGTAGAAAAGGTACATTATGCTAAGATTTAAGGCCAATCGTGATTAACAAAGAGACCTCTCTATAATCTGTTGACATAAAGCAATATGGAAACTTGAGATGGAAATTATCAACCATATCTTAATAGCATAATCATGTTTTTAACTCTCCTTCAGCTCAAAGAAGCAAACTATCTTTATTCTTAACAACATCAAATTTAATTTTAAATTTGATTTTAAATTTGATTTTCAAATGTCCGTTTTTTCAAAACAAATGACAACCAAAAACAGAAATGAACAGACATGATCAGAACTAGAACAATCATAAACAATAAAGTTTTTTCTATCAGCAACATTTTAAAAGTTTAGCTGCTGTAAAAAATTTACTACTTAACTATAAAACAAGGTTTCTAAGACACCCCTTTTCTAATAAAAATTTTATCTTTTTGCTCTTGTTTTTCAGGTTTTTGCTCTTGTTTTTCAAGTTACCATTTTTCATCGTACTCTGCAATACACAACAAAGTTCGCGGAATTTTCTATTTGATTTCCAGGCAAAATATATAATTAGTATCACTAGTGTTAAAATATATAATTAGTATCACTATTGTTAAAATATATAATTAGTATCACTAGTGTTAAAATATATAATTAGTATCACTAGTGTTAAAAATTTGCAGTCGAAATATCAAAATGGAGCCAAGTTTGTCAAATATAAATCAAAATTTCACAACTAAATTTTCAGCTTTTTAAGATTTTCCTTATTACTTTGTACTTTTATTCTAATTTTGATTCGGGCATTCCCCACTTGAATTAAAATTAAGTCTTTATTTTCTAGCAACCTAATGGCTTAAACCTTTGATATTTCAGACTTTGGTTATTGGATCTCTAACAGAATTCTTAGTTTGAAATATCTATGGTCTATCACATTGGGTTGCAAAGATATTGGGATTAGAAATCAGAGTTTGTGGCAAAGACTCAATTCCTTAATGTAATCAACGAAATTAACAAGATCAAGTTGGGTAAATAGTATTCAAATTCTAAAAATTTGGATTTTTATAAAGTGAACAATTTCCTTTCTATGAAATTTTTTTGATCTGTCACATGACTATAGGAATTATAGTGTGCAGATATATAAAACTGATAGTATTCACTGTTTCCTGTCAGCGATTTCCTGTAGAATATGTATATATTGTACAAAAGAATTGTAATATCATTAATCTCTCATTGTAAATTCTAAACTTGTCATAATGTAAAAAACAAGAAGTCATTAGCCCTGCATTCATGTTGTATTTATTCCCACTGTGTACTTTACAACCGCTGCTTTTTATTTTTTTCTACCCTTCTGACTTTAATATCCCAACTACTTTATTACCATACTGGTACTTTACTATCCCTTACTTTGAAATCTCCACCCCTTATTTTTTCTTTTATACGCCTAATTATACTTTTCTACATCTATTTTACTATAGAAACATATACTTTTAATACTTTTCTACACATAATTTATACATGTACTTTGCTTGTCTGGGTTTTTTTATATAATCAGCGAACCTTTTTTATTACATGGTTTATCAATTTATACATACAAAGAGACAATGTTTAAAATTGAGATAGGAGATGGCCGCACAGCGCCCTGAAACCCTACTTTTAATAAAATTCAAAAAATTAGTTCAGGAGCTAAACGCCCACCCTCTTCTATTCTTTAGGCGGTTTCGAAGGTAAAAGATTATGCTTTGGACTTAAGAGATTGAGTCTTTGCCACAAACTTTGAATTTCTAATTCCTTAATCTTTTCAATCAAATTTTGTAGACCTTAAATATGTCAAATGATGACTTCGTTAGATCTAAGTTTAAAATATCAAAGGTTTACAATATAAGGTTGCAAAGATATAGGGATTGGACAATTTTTGTTTGTTGCAAGAACTCAATTGCTCTCTAATGGAATGCCCATGCCATATAACACTTACTGTTTGAACAGTTTATTACAGGTAAATGTGTCAAACCTATCTTAGCATAACGCCTATTACAAAAATATTCCAATATTGAAATAGAAAATTAAAGAACTAATAAAACTTATTAATTTACTCGTTACAAATGATACTTATTTTGTATATATTTTATTGAATTTTATTGTGATAAGCGATTTGAAGCTAAAAATTATAGTAAATATTAAGATAAAAGACGTGGTTTCTGAATTAAATGAGCCAAATTAAATGAGTCTAATTTTACAAGAGTTTAATTTTACAAGAGATTAATTTTACAGGAGTATAAATTTACAGGAATTTAATTTTACAAGAGTTTAAATTTACAAAAGCTTTCACAGCTTTAATTTATTTAATTATTTTATAATTTTATTTACCATGGCCTATAGGTTCAATTTCCCAATGGTTTTCTTTAACAAGGGTTTGAACTCCCAAGGATTAACATTTTGAGTCAGTGTCAGCCCTCAAGAGTCTTATTTGTACAGATGTATAAATCTGGCATTACAGTTTTTAATTGAAGGATTACTTGAAAATACGTTTTTAATTGAGGGATTACTTGAAAATACGTTTTTAATTGAAGGATTACTTGAAAATACGTTTTTAATTGAAGGATTACTTGAAAATACGTTTTGAATTGAGGGATTACTTGAAAATACGTTTTTAATTGAAGGATTACTTGAAAATACGTTTTTAATTGAAGGATTACTTGAAAATACGTAAATACGACATTTTTAAAATATATTTTTTGAAATTCCCATAACAGTCGACTTGCAATAACAATGTTTTTCAACTTGACGCTAAATTTGCGTCCTAAGTCAGCATAATTTATACACGTTAATCCACATTCAAAATATGTAAAGATGTTGCAATCCAAACTAACACTTTTATGTTTTCTAAGCATTGATTACATAAATAAAGTCAGATATATCACGACATGTTGTCTATTGTCCCCACTTTCGATGTTATTATTTTCAAAAAATTTTAAAATTTAAGTTTTATGATTTTTTTTTTGGGGTAATATTTTGATTAAACTTTTATTTTTGCTGACGAATAAAGCCCATGTCTCTATCTCTCTTATTTCATTTGTTTTATTTAGCACAGAAACTGTTTTTTTTTGTCTCAATCGGATTTTTTATCTCTATGTTTTTTCAACCTGATGATGTATACTGTGATCATAGCTTTTGATATCAAAAGTATACCATATTATGATATTAGGTTGCCGGCCAAAAATAGAGCGTTGCAAATTTTTTATCTCAAACATAGGGCGTTGCAAACTTTCGCGAACATTTCAATTCTGCAAATTACGTTTTAATCTTTTTGTGATTTACAAAACTTTATTTTCAAAAGAGCTTTTTTGCTTCACAAAATATTAAGTTTTTAAAATTAAATATAAAGATTATTTATATTTCATTAATCTTTCATTTCTAAACTTAAGTAGTAGATCTTATATTCTATATATATACCTTACTTGTTTGGGTTTTTGTTTGAGTGTTTGTTTGTTTGTTTGTATCCAATAAACGTCAAACCTGTGTTTAACATCTAAACATGTTACTGAAAGCCTAGCATTTTAGAATTTAATAAAGCATTCAATCCAAAATGAATTAAATTTCAATAATTTTCCAGATCTTGTGGAATGTTTTTGAGGATTCTCGTTATTTGTACTCTGCTGCCATTTCTTCATGCTCTCTCTAATTCCAGGTATAATAATTATACTCATAATATGAACATTAAATATATGAAAACAGAATATATTCAATAAAATACAAATTGAAGAGCAAATTTTGAATAAATGTGATTTAAAGGTTTGTTAACAGAAGTTTTTAAAAAATCATTCGAAATTCCTTTTCAAGTGTTAACAAATATTAAAGGGAGAGTCGTTATAATTTTAAGCGGACCTTCTGTTTCATCCTGCCCGATTTTATCCTTGCTTGAAAAGTGATTTAATTTGTTTATTTCTCCATTGCTTTCATTGCGCAAGTCACTTTTGTATAGCATTGTAAATCGTACTTGCTACTCTATCAATGGAGGGTCACGTTACGGAAATTACGTTTACAGTCCCTTTAATTGACATTACAAAAAGTTTTATTCATGTTTTAACAAAAGGACTGTTAGTAAAAATATACGAATTGAAAATAAGGAATTAATTAAAAGTAAAAACTAATAAATATTTGTTTTTAAACATACAGTCTAATAATGCCTAATCCACGCCGAAACTTCTCAGTTTAGAGTATTTCTACATATTTTAATCATGGACAACGTACATCAAAGCAAAGCAAAAATAACATTTTTTTCCATAACACATAATTTTTTTCTGGCTAATTAGACGCAGTAGAAACATTCATTTACAAGGCATGAATGGAATACAAAAGTAATTTATTTCTATTGGGTAATTAACGTATGCATATATAATGGACTAAATGTTTCTAAAAACGGGCTCCTCAAAAACACTAAAATGAGGTATTGACGAACCATGGATTCAATCGTCGACATGGTTATATTTTCATAACGTTCCAATTTTCTATATCGAGACTTGAATACAAACAAAATTCCATTTAATAAAGGTTACCTGAATTAATGCAGCAGTTAGGTCATAATCCTTTCAAATTTTTTTGATAATTTCCTCCGTTGACGGAACCTTCAGTGAAATTTTCTCATCTGCTTTTAACGAGAAACTTAATAATTCTTTCTGTTCGATAGCGTAATTTTCTGTTGATTTTTTAAACTTGTATTCGTTAGAACGGAACTTTTCCCAGTTTTTTTAAAAGGGTTAGTCATAGATTTGGGGAAAACAAAATTATTATAGTTTAGGAGAGGTTAAAGGCATAACGATTAAGGACTTTTTAAACAAGTTTTTGTCTTAAAATATGGTAAATTTCTTTCGACTCTTTTATGGAGTTTTTTTTTAACATTTTCGAAAATTTTCATTTTATTAGAGAGTTGGATGGAGTTCAAGGGACCTTGATGGAGCATTATCCAGAGAATCCGGGGAAAGGTATCATTTAAAAATATTCATTTTAAAAATCAGATCTTAAATTTTTGGGGGAGTTAGGAATAGAAAATGGCTTAGTTTTTATAAAACTAACTCACAGATTCTTAAATTCTCAACATAAGCGTTTCAAATCGTATTTTTACATTAAAAAAAATAAAGTAGTCTTTGAAATTTTAAATTGCTTTTTATAGGTCTTTATACTTCCATACAAAATATATGAACTTCTTTCTTTCACATGTTTCAATTATTCAAACTTCTTCGATATGTGAAAAAAACAATAGGAATTCTTCTAAAAATGTTTAATTTAGGATTTTCTGACGCCCAACACTTTAAGAAGCTGGTTGATGTGTTTAAGAGGTACTTCAGTATACCGGACTCTAGGCATCAGGAGACAAGCACTCAGAACACAAATTATTATATCAAAAAGTCCTACATGGGTCGACTTGTTAGGGAAGAGAATATTTCAATATAAAAGTCAAATTTCCCAATTTGTCTAAAACATGATTTGGACTAAATACGGTTTCTTTTTTATTAATAAAAATATTAATTTTCTTACTAAGACCTCGACGGGATCATTACCAATTCACATCTGAAGTCGAAACACCGAGGAATGATTTATACCTGGATAGAACCACAGAGGATCATCAAGTAATTGTGAATGGTCCGCTCAACGATGAATCTGGCGATGTATTTGCTACGGATAGATATCTAAAGGATAATACTGATGATGCGTTTGCTGTTGATAGATATCTGAAGGATGATACTGATCATGGATTTGCTACAGATAAACTTTCTTCAGGAGACAGCATGGCTAAACGTTCCTACCTGCCTGCCCTTCTACAGGCTGCAAGGTAAGATTTTCATTTGAAAAAAGTATATATTTTTACCCTGGCTTTTTTAATTGTCCGATGTCTTATCAATTCTATAAAAATCAGAATCATCAGAAATGACGATAAAATTTTCTGAAAACTGGGAGTGGGAAAGGATACTGAAAAATAGAATTATCTACACTGAAAGTACCAAAATTTACAAAAATTTTGTTTCTATTGTTTCATTTATTTGTAGGTTTCATATTTTACTTAAATTCTAAAATAATGTTTCTTTTGGTTCCAAAAACTATTCAAAGTTCATTTTTAAATTCTTATTTTATTAACAGACTTTCACGATTTGATGTTATACAACTTAAAAAAAGTACGTTGAATTTTCATGAGCAAAGTGACAAGAAAAAAGAAAATTTTAAAACCTTTCAAAATAATGTAAAAAAATTTTTGTCTCAAGCTGTTGGGTACTCATTTTCAAATTATTACAAGCTTGGGAACCGGCGTTGCCAAGGTTACTAAAAGTTACTTCCAGAAGTTTACCCGCACTTGAACGATTTTAACGGGAATCTAAATTTTCGCTATTAAAGTCGACCCACTCAAATTAGAATCTTAAAACCAAACTATGAACATTCCCGTGGGTCTCCCAAATTATCCAATCAAAATATGAGACAAATCTGTCTAGGGGATTCCTGAGTTGTGATCGGACAAACAAACAGACAGGCAGACAAACAGAGATTACAACTTTATATATACAAAAGATACAAGCTCGTGCTTAGTTTCCTTGGGACCTCAGTGCTTTAAAGTAGAAAATGTTAGATAAGCTTTATATTCAAGCGAGCAATCAAGATTAGAGAGTTCCTGAGTTTTCTCATAATCAGTTTGGTAGATTTTTAAAAATAAGTTTTTGATCATTTTCGACAAAGAGAGAAATTCTGTAAATATAACTATTAAACAATAATGATACAAAAATATGAAGAAAAACTGTATACTTACGCCGCAAACTCTAATGTTTCATCCCTACTTTTGAAGCCTGAAGGTGGAAACCTTTGATATTTACAAGTTTGATTATCTCATCTATTCGAATTTGTAGGTCTACGACTTCAGATCAGTTTACTTTTAGACTGAGGAAAAAGGAAGATACGGGAGCAGTTACTGGACTGAGCATTACAAACAACTTTGATGTACTCAGGGAAGAAAAAATATATATACAACATCCAAATGTTTTTTTAATTACTGATTTATGAAAGTGTCAAAAGAACAGACAATTGGAAATTTTGCATTTTTTTAATTATTGATTTAAAGAATGAAATAGTCTTAAGTACGCTTATAAGCTAGTTTATTATCATTATTTTCGGTTAGTTAATACCAAATAGATTATTAAGTATAATAGGTGGTAACAGAGAAATGGACCAATTATACATGACGTCACAAGTGTCAAATATAACAAGGAAAACGAAATTTTTCACATTAAGCGTAAAAACAGAAATTTAAGAACACATAACATTTCACTTATTTTATAAGATAAGATAAGCAAAGTCTATGCAAGGATGGCAATGTCCTCGTTCACAACGGTACCCTTGAAAACCTTTCTCTCTGGTAAATAATGTCAAAGATGTTGTAATTTTTCTAGGTTTAAATCTGTTTAATTCTGCAGAAACATTCTATATTTCTTCCTGCATTAGAAATGCGCAAATCACTTTTGTTACGCAAATTGATATATAACTCTTACTTGATAAGACAAGGCTTTTAAGGGTGCCGTTTTGCATTGGGTATGGCTGTCTTTGCATGGAGAGTCGGTTGAATTTAATTACGCTTAGAGTTTCTTTAAGGTCGAATATTTAATTTTTCTCCCGATTTTGTTATGCAAATTTGTAAGGAACCAAAAACTGAGAATAATTATTCTAAAGCGGGCACCAAGCACTGCGAATTCTGGTATTATTTATTTTTGGACTGCAGGAGGAGGTGGCTTGAGAATCTGCACAGAAGACAAGGAGTTAAAGTAAGAAATATTCAAATATTTATGTGAGCTGAGATTGGAACTCTAGAATTGAATGCTTCATCTCAATATTTAGTATTTCTGCAGATTAGTTTTATCTTTATTCAATATCCCACATGGTGATCACACTGGAGGAATATTTTAAATAAAGAGATTAAGCATAGATAATAAAAAGTGGCCACTATGGATATCGAGAACAAGCGATTGGGATTATGATTATCAGCACAAAGTTCCCAGCTCTTGAAACAATTTGTTTTCATCTCTATTGCAAAAGAGGATTCTCTAATAAAGTGTTAAATAGAAAGCACTGATAATTAGAATTAACATGTAGGACACACTTTTAAAAACGCAGTTTTAATTGAAAAATCTTAAAACTGGACTAAATTCACGCTTTAAAGGGACTGTACTCTTATATAAAGTGACCCTTCTTTAAAAATTTTGGCACGCCGGATTAGATATGAAAATCTGAGTTTGTCACAATAACTCAGTTTTCATTCATGGCTTTTTTATGCAATCTATTTAACCAGTTAAAGAACGAGATTTTCGTTATTTTTCTAAAATATTAAGATTTTATTGAAAATTGTTGATTAATATATGCAATATAAAAAGAAAATATTAAAAACCAGCTTAAAAAAAACTAGTTTCCTGTGAAATTCTGAAAAAATCTAATTTTGAAAAAATATCGAATAAAAAAATTCGATTTTTTGAAAATAATTACAATTCTTAGCCTATGCTACCCTCAAGAAACCCAAGGGTTTCCTTAAAAAATGTTAGCCGATTCGATCCAACCGTTTTGCCATATTTAATTAAAGATAATTTTTAAAAAAAAATTGTGTTCAGTGAAAAATTTAAACAAATTTCATCTTTAGGACTCATTATGATCGTAAAAAGCATGATTATCTAATTAAAGTATAATAGTTACTTTAATGCATTTCAAGAATAAATTTCACTACATGGTAGCCTATGGCATTTAGAAATTCATACTTTACTGAGAAAGACCGAGTTTAAAATACACAAATTAAAATGTAAAGCACTTTCTCATCATTGCTTCACGAATTTCACATGTTTTAATATTTTTCAACCGGCTTTTCTTAAATATAAATTTTTGACCCGATGATCAGTTTATTAGATTTAAAGCTATGTAATTTTCTATAAAGTTTCCCCCCACAAAAGGAATTAAGTCTTCGCAACAAACTCAAATTTTCTAATTCCTATATCTTTGCAAGCTGATGTTAAATAACCTTGATATTTTAAGCTTAGATTGTTTGATCCACCGAATCCAAAGTATGAAATTTCTGAAGACTACGACCTTGGGTTGCAAAGATATAAGGATTACAAAATAATTATTTGTGGAAAAGACTTTATTGATATTAAATCTTTCCTGTATCATACTGCATCTAACATGACAAAACATCTTATATTTTATACTGAAGATTATTAGGGTTAAACAATTTTAACCCGGTACGTCTTTAAAGAGTGCAATTCGGAGAAGATTATTATGTAATTAAGTGTTTATCATAATCATAATTCTTCTCATAAACTCACGTAGCGCAAAGCATGAACTCGGGGTGTTTTGTTTAGAATTTGATAATTAAGTTTCATAAAATTAATGAAAACAATTAAGAAATTTTTTAAAATTTTGTTCACAATGTGAATATGACATGCATTAAAATTAAAATTGGAGTCGCGCACATTCTCAATTTTTCTAACCCTTATTTTTTGCAATATGATCTCATACATTCTATAGTGTATTGGGATTTTTGTTTGAAAAATTATCAAATTGAATGAAACTTCCAAGAAAGCAAAAAATGCTTTTATTCATTAGAGAAGACGACATTTTTTTACAGTCTTTATTAGACCAAACAAAGTGCGTAGAATTTTCGTAGATCTTCCAATGCTGCATTTTTATATTAAAAGTCTTTGATTAGATCTAATAGGCTGTCCAGTAGTTCAACATTTTGGACAAATATTTTGAATAATTAATTGATTGATTGAAACGTCTTTTGATTAATTGGTTAATTAAATGATGATTGATTTATTGATTAATTGTCATTTAGGACTTCAGGCGAGGCGGTCGTCCAGGCACCAGCAACTTACAGAACCAACATTTACTGGATTCTATTGGATAAATTAACAAGACCATGGTCTACAGCATCAATAGCATCGGTTTCAAGATCATTATCAGTAGCCTTCAGATCTTTGGCTCTATAAGAATCATCTATACAAACTTACTTTATGTACGTTTCGCTATTTGTACATGTACCGATAATTACAATAAATATTGAATACTCCTGGAGAAGTTATGCCGGCTGTTTCTGACAAACCAAAAATGTTGTCTCTTTGTATAAATTGTTCATTATTTTCCCTTGAAAAGGCTGTTTTTATTTCATTAAAATTGTTTTGTTGCTCTAATTTTTTTTCTTGTTGCCCTAACAATGTTTTTTTGTTTCTTGAAAACTTTTTTTCTTTCAATTTCTTTCGCTGTTTTTTCAAAGTTTGGTTTTGAAAATAAAACAAAGCTAGGCTTTAACTCGGAGTTACCGGTACTTCAAAGGCTGTCAGAAAAAAAAATTATGTACAGAAAAAATAAGTACACCCTATACAGCACACTTTGTACAGTGTACAGTAAGAAATTTAAACAAATCCCTAAATATTGCTGCACAGTGTTAGTTTAAATGTCTATACTTTTGTTAGAAATAAAAATTGAATTTAAATGAACAAAACAAATATTTTAAAATACTGTAAATATATTAATTACATACAACAAAAAAAATAAAAAAACTTCCGAAATATTTTCTTATCACTTTGTTCGTCAGTTGAGCATTTTGGTGATTATTTTCTTTTGTGGTGTCTCTATGAAACAAACACTAATAAATCAAATTAGCAATCAAATAAAGATATCAAGAGTACCGCTGTTAATCAAAATATTTAACTTATATATTTTTCAGTTTAATGAGGAATATAATACACAGCAGGTATTATAATGTATTTGAGTAATTTCAAAATAATATTTGGTTTAAAAATTAAATGACGATTGAAATAAAAAAAATCATTTAAATGAAAGAGAATTTTTTTTCTTTCAAAATTCTAAAATTGGCCTTGTTAAGTTGTTAAGCTGTAAAGCCGAATTTAAAAAGTAAAAAGAGTTTTATGAGTGGATTTTGATTAAAAAAAAAATTTGCAATAAATCAAAAAATGTTGAAAATATCAATAAAATAAAGTACCCTTTATATCTATATATTTATACATCTATATATTTCTTGCACTAGTCCAGCTTTGCAAGAGACGTTTTTAAAAAATATTAGACACCCAGATTCAATATATAGTTAAGATGGGCTGGAGAGATTAAACAAAATATCGAAGAAATTATTTATACATATATGTCATAAAATTATCCCAACTATAAAAACAAGGGGGGGGGGGTTGAATGAGTGAGGAAATTCTAAAAATAGCCATGATTCATTTTGTGGAATAATACCTGCTAATTTATATGCATCAAGAGAATGCTATTTGATGAACAATCTTCAAACTTTTCAGTTTAAATGAGTTTTCAAGTATAAAAGACGTGTATGGATTAAGCAACAAGGATGTGTAGCACAGTATAAACTGAGAAATATTTGTTTGGATATTGTAAATCTTGATCATATGATCTCGATATCAAATGTGGACGTTTAAAAGTTTGAGGAACAATTCTGATCCATAAAAAGTTATCTCTGCAGGGTATGAACACCACGGGATATTGAAGAGGAATCAGACCGTAGATCTGCATAAAATGGAGGTCTCGAAATTTCCAAAGCAAAAGTTAGAATTCTGTGAGCTTAATTTATTTATTGGATTTTCTCGTGTATTCGGTTTTTAAAGGAATTAAATAAAATTAAAACACATATTATTTTTCAGAGTGATTTGGTTATGGTAAAAAGATCCTAAACACTTCAGAATCAAAAGACACAGAAATAATATATATATATATTTATATGTATATTTTTATTTTATTTTATATTATTTGTATGTATATTTGTATATGCTGAACAGCTGAACCCAGTTGGCTGATAACAAACAGGTCAAAAATGAACTAAATTTTCAAAATCAATATTTTTTTTCAAAAATCGAATTTTTATTTTAGAACTTGAAATTTTTTTTAATTCAATTTATTTCAAAATTCCACTGGCACAACAGCTAGTGGTTAATACAACTTTGGTGACCTATTAATTTCAAAGTACTGAAATCAAGAGCGGCGTTACATGATATCACAAAGCAAACCTTACTCTTAAGCCCTGAATCGAATGAAAAAAGATATGAATCATTGTTTTCGTCTTGAAAATATTAATTCGGCGGTTCGGCGGTATATATTGGCAAGTTACTTTTCAGAGAACCTTAAAGATATAGAAAACTACCTAAACAAGAAGTATTAAAGAGTGGACCCATGGGTCCCTTTAGAGCTTAGTATGTTTGTGGCTTACCCTTAAGGGGGCTGCAGACTAAATTTAGGTGTTGGACATTTAAAGAAAGACATTTCATAGGTAGGACGTTTCATAAACAGAAAATTTTAAAAGACATTTTATAGAAGGAAATTTGATAGAAGACATTTTATAGACAGGACATTTGATAAATAGGACATTTGATGAACAGAGAAAAAAATTCTTAGATTTGGTAATTTCTCTTTCAAGTAATATTATTTAATGAAATATACCCTGTTCTTTCTATGATCTTTCTGATTTTTACTTCACACATTATTTATATTTTTGTTGTTTTTAGTTGAGACACCCCCATTGATTAACAATATTTGTATTTGCATTGTATCAAAAACTTAAAACCTTTAAAAATTGGGACATATGTTTCTAAACCAAAAACCTTAATTGTCTAAAAAAATGCTTTTCTGTCTATGAAATCACCAATCTGTAAATTCTTCCTTGTCTATGAAAAATTTACCCTGTCTATAAGTAGTCTATTAAATATCAAATCTATGAAATGTCCTATCTATGAAATGTCCTCTATCTATGAAATGTCCTATCTATGAGTTTCTTTTTCTATGAACTTTTCTTTCTATAAAATGTTCTATTTATGATTTTTTTATCTTTAAATGTCCATTTGTAACTGTCTTTTTATGAAATGTCTCATACACTGTATTTTCAAGGGACCCTCCATATATAAAATTTAGTGTCCATTTCACAGCAGTTTCATGATTAAACCTTTAAATGATTAAGTATTATATGGACATATTCTTACTGAGCTTATATATCTAAGGAATATTAATAGTTAGTTCTTACAAATTCTAGAGTAGGTAGAGAATTAAATTCGAAAGATTACACACGGATCTCTCTGTACTCTATGAAAGGTTTAAATAATAGCGTTGTAAATCGGGCATTGCCCTCTTAGAATCTATCAAGCATAAAGATTAGAGTCAAACATAATGACATATTTAAGGATTTAAATTATGAATATATCAGAACAGGATAAAATATACTACATTAAAAAGGGATCTGCAGTCTTGCGGACACCTTCAAACTCAAATATTTTAACTTTTATAAGATGTCGTAGACCTTAAATATTCCAAAATACGAATTCTGTTGTATCAAATAGCTAAGTTTGAAATAAAAAAGTGTAATCTTTTGTTTTAAAGAGGTCAGGCTTCAAATCATCTAAGAAATTACTCTCCACAAAAAATAATAAAATAAAAACAGTAAAATTGATGTAAGATTTGGATACAATATGTCTTTTTTTGGCGTTATTGACATCAAAATTTGATTAAATAGAACGTTTTTAGGGCCTTGGAGTAAATTATAATTTTTTTATAAGCTGCCTCCTTTTTAAAATAAAATGATTTATTAATACTTATATTGTAAAAATAATGTATTGCTTTTAACGCCCAAATCAGGACATGCTCTATAAATAGAATCATACATGTTTATACATTTGCAGGAACAAATTATATATGATCTAGATACGTGTTGTGAATTTATAAAAATTGTATTATTATGTCACATGAGAAAAATGCTCTGATTTTTACAGAGCATGCTTTGAACAACCCTTTCTCTGTTTGAACATTTTTAACAACATGTTTTTTTAATACAAGGCTTCCCCAGGTGCATTGACAAATTTTTAACTAAGAATTACTTTACAAGAGATAGAAACTCTTGAAAGATGAAGCCTTGATTTCGATCTTTTGTTGATCTACATATTAATTTAATCTTTATTCACTATCCTCTGAAGAGTGTCCTCCAGGGGGGCAGGATCTTAGCTACCTCTCCGTGTGTATTAGCCCAAGTGTATACTTCGGACTGTTTACTGATAAAGGATATTAAGAGATTATGGCATATTCATACAGTACAACATAGAGTAATAAAACTAAGAGGTGAAGCTTAGCTCAGATGTACACAACCGACCTGTCTATTCATTAATTAATAGACAGGTCGGTTGTGTACATCACGATATGTTTACGTATCTAACGCTGTACACTTGTATATAGAGCGATCGTATTTCCCAAGGGGGATTTTATGGAATTGACCAATTTTTAGATTTTCTTTCTTTATTTAAAAAGAATTCGAGGATGTTGACTGCAAACATTTGACAATTGTAGGTTTTCAATTTATTAGCTAAAAGTTCTGTCAAAAATATTAAGTTTCTAGGGCATGAATTTAACTGAAAACATTCTTATTTCAAACATTTTTTATTGTTTCTTCTCTTCAACTCTTTATCATAAACATGATAGTGTATGCAGGGTTAACCACAAAGGTGAAACAACGATGACACGAACCCTAAACAGGCGGGGGGAGGGGGGCATTTGGCTCCCCCCCTCTAGTTTTTTGACTTTTCATAAATAGAAATTTAAAGGATTTTTTGGTAATTTTTTATGCCTAAGGTAGGGTGCAGGGCGATAAAAAACCAGAGTATGTAAAAAAATCTTAAATAGCCCATAACTTTTTTATTACTAAAGCTACAGATCTGAAAACTATTTTTTTGAAAAGCCCTTGAAAAATGGATGAAGAAACGTTTGTCGCACTTTGATATTTGTTCTAAACAAAAAAGAACTAATTTATCTAATTATCAATACTAATATTCAAATATCTACATTAAACCACTCCTTAGAAATACGATCCCTCTATATATACAAGTGTACAACGTTAGATACGTAAACATATCGTGATGTACACAACCGACCTGTCTATTAATTATTTAATAGACAGGTCGGTTGTGTACATCTGAGCTAAGCTTCACCTCTTCGTTTTATTACTCTATGAGTACAAACATCAAATATGAAGTACGCTTTCGTTGGTGTCGTCTATGGAAAACAAACATCCAATCAAAAGCCAGGACATTTTGTATATAACCAATGAAAGAACAGATATATTGCGGATATCCAAAATCAAGTAATTAAACAGGTGCTGCGTAAAATTAAATTAAGTGCCCACTGAGGATATCAATATCTGTGGATCGGGATTATATGTACAAAACACAAAAGTTCCCCGCTCAGCAAACATTTTATCTTCGTGCATAATAATAAATTACAATTTTAGATTTCACAGATTTTTTAGTTTTAAAAATGGTATTTTTGAAATTCCTTAAATGAAAAAAATATTTTGATCTGCCGAAATTTTTACTTGGGTTCATGTGAGGTTCTTCGAAAATGGGGTAACACACAAAAAAAGCTGCATTCCTGTTATTATCTTTCTTTTACTTATTTTTGTTTATTAAGCTTTGTTTTCAGAAGTTTACAAATAAAATATGACCTATTTTTACTTTTTGTCTCGTAATATTAGATATTTTATGTAACATATTCTGACAAATATTCAATATGTATAAAGTATATAAAATAAAGGATACAAAATAATAACCATTGCACTAATAAAGTATTTTTAACATTATGAACATTTAATATTTGAAAATAAGATAATTTTGAATCTATAAGTTGGTAAATGACAAAAAGTTTACATTCATCTTTTGAACCTCTCCTTTTCCAAATGGATGAAGATTTAATTACCGAGAGTGGGTCTAATCCGAGATTAAGCTTGGCATGGATAAAAAGCAAACATTGAGACAGAACGTCTAAAAACGGAAACTTTTTTAGATATGTAAAAACAAGATTAAGGTAGTGTTTATTTTAATTTGCTTAGGATTGATGATGAGGAGAAAACACCCCCATCCCATCCCTATTCTGCTTCTTTTGTTAGTGTGTAAAAGTAAGGAAAACAGTTTTTTAAATGCTTTTAATTAAAAATAAATTATTTTTTATTTTTTGTACAGATCACTCTTATGAACCATTTCTGCGTAATAAAGTCAGAAATTCCTCGGAAAATTATTAAGGAAAATAACAATGAGGAAAATTATACATTTTTTTTGTTTACTCGATATTTTTAGCTATTTATAATTTTTTCCAACAAATATGACAAACAAATAAGTCCTTTGTCAGGTTTGTTATTGGTTATTGGTTATTTTTAACCTGGATCAAATAATTTTCTTTTGCTTTTTACCACGTTTACGTTTTCCAGATTTTCCTGTTTTAATTAAATGATTTATAAAATAAAAACGAATTTTTTAAAAGCAAATTTTGTATTCTGACCGCTCATTTTTCAGTACATTTTGAAAATTGAAATTGATTAAAAACTACAAAAATGCCTGTCTATATTTTAAGTTTTCATTTATTAAAAAAAGGTATAAAATGAAAAATTAAAGACCACCGAAAAATAGAAAAACAAAATTTTCGAGTAAACCGTTTTTTTGGAAAAGCGCTCAGTAATAATTTCGACCGAAAAAGTCGATCGCTGTGACAAACCGTAAGATCAGATTGCACTTGTAATCTTTACTCCAAAATTATGGTTATTATGTGTGTTTGTTTAAAGAGGTGAACAATCCCTTTATTTACCAAGCTGTGTGGATCAGTATTCAAACAGTCAACCCCTTTATTCATGAAATATGTCCAAATATTTGTGAATATATTAGTAAATTTATACAAAAATATATCTTAATATATCCTAGATATTTGTCTTTGTATTTCATGAAAATCCTTCTCTAGATCTGAATACAAACACGCAGCAATTTCAAATATTCAAATTGCACAACTCCACGAATATCTGGAAACAATTGCAGGGAATCTATTGTACACAGATATAAAAGATATAAAATTTTAAAGTTTTAAAAAATTGTGAATTACATTGCGCTGTGGAAGACGATGCTTGGCCGCGTTAAACAAGTTCCACAAGATTCAACAGAATGAGATAGAACAGATACTGATAAACATCTACACGTGTGATATCGATATTGACTCTAGTTCTGAACCCTCTAGTAATAAGTTATAAGAAATATATATACTGGAAGTTATTTATGCGTTTTTATTAGAGTCTGACTCACGTCCTCTATAACGCAAATTTTTACTCAGAATTATAAATAAAAAAATAACCTATTTTTAAAATGATAAATAAAATTGGTTTGGTGCAATGCATGTTGAATGTTCATAGCTCAGTACATGTTCACTGCTCAGTAAACATTTTTTTGTGTTTTCAGATCTCAAAATAGTAAAATTATTCATTTCCCAAAATGGGCGTCAAAAAACTTGGGGGGGGGGGGGTTGGCCGTTTGTGCCAAACGCCCCTACCAAGTCTTTTTGGGGTTAAATTTTTTTTTCTTCACATTTTAGATTAATGAATATGTATGTTATTGGTATGTTATACCTTTATTGATCTTGAAACAAAGTATCTGTCTAAAATCTAGCAGTGTGAATATTTGTAGACCATTATTTTGAATTTATCGTTTTAAACTTTAAGGCATAATATGTTCCCAACCTTAGATGGTTAAAATTAAAACAAAATTTTGATGATATTTCGGCGATCTCTTGTGACACTCCTTAATTTTTATTTTTCTTCAAACTCAAATTTTCAACGTTACGAGTCTTTGTTATATTTCTATTTATTTCTTCTAAATAAATACTAAAACATGCGTTAATTAGTAACCGATTAAAGTCGGTATTTTTAAATTTAGACGTCGTCTTAACTTTACGTCACTTTGACGCCAAATTTTAAATTGGCGCATTTTCAAATCTTGACTAGATTCTTGATTAAACAATTCCTGCACGATCTACCAGCCGTAACCTCCTCCGAAACCACCTCCGAAACCACTTCCGAAGCCTTTGCCAAAGTCAGCTCCTCCGAATCCGGGATGACCTCCTGTAAAGCCTCCATGACCGCCACCATGGCCTCCCCCATATCCCTGGGGTTCGCAGACCTCCTTGGGGGTCTTCACTGGGATTTGCTTGGGGACCTTGATGAAAAAGACAGGATTAAGCAAAAGTGAAGAAATCCTCGTTTAAGAATGAATTGAATTAAAAATTTTAATTTCCAATTATTTTGAGCGGTTGTTTTACATCAAGTTTTTCGTTGCATATCAACAAATAACACCATGCCGGAAATTAAGAAATATTGCATTCGATGAAATGAATGCGAAAATTATTTCCATTTAAAAATACAAATATGAAAATAGTTCTTATTTTGGCAAAATTTCAATCTAGAAATGCCGCGTAAAAAGAAAACGATATTGTTTAGAAATTTACCTGGACAGGAACCTGTTGGCAGTTTTCTTTAGGAACATTTTGGCAGTTTTCTTTAGGGACCTGAAACAGAGAATTTTAGCATTCATTTTGCTAATTGATCCTGTAAATATCCGGTTCTTTTCACTTAGGAAAACTGTTTTTTTTACGAAAACTGTTTTTCCTGCGACAAAACTTATTTTCCCTCATTCAAAAAATGTTTTCTTTGTGACAAAAACTCTTTTCTCTGTGACGAAAACTGTTTAATAATTGGTCGAGAAAACTGGTTTTTATTATTACTTAATTGCGGTTTATCACTTATAATAAAATAACCTGAACGGGAGTTTTTTCTGGCACTTGCTTACAGTTCTGTCTTGGCACTTGCTCGCACTGTTTATCCGGCACTTGTACAGGCACTTACAAATACAAATTAAAAAATTGACCTTTTTATATTCATTTTGATTTTATTACAATATTGGCTATATTTTTGAGAAAAAAGCATAAAAATGTACTGTGTGTCTGTAAACTAAGTTGTTTTATTTTGGAAAATATTTTAAAATGTCTTTCTTTTATTTATTTTTTTAATTACTTTTTTGGCCTCAATTTTTTTGGGTACTTGTACGAACATTGTATTTTTTTTTCAAGAAAAAAATGTAATATTTTCAGAACTAGATTTTGAGAACTTTTTTTTTGAAATATTGCTAATTTTCTAATACTAATTTTCTAATTCTAATGTTTTTACAAGTGAGTAAAAGCGCCTGCGTTTATAAAAATATTGTAAAAAAGTATTTAATAGATGAATTTTTACAAAAAAGAAAATTACGGGGTGGCCCTACCTTTTTGGCATTCTTGTTTAGGAACGTTATGGCATTGTTCAACAGGGGTCTGTACAGGAACATTTTGACAGTGCTCTTGGGGAACCTGAATTCATAATAAATATATTCACAATTATTATTTTTGTTCGAGTACATGATACTTTCCCTTTTAGTCGATATGGTTAAAGCCGAATAGACTAATTTTTTGTCCAAAGCTTTACAATACAATCTTTAAAACACTTTGTTTGAAATAAATACTGTTAATGATGATTTATGAAATTGATACATAGTAGTTTTGACATTAACTTTTGGCATTTAAAGAAATAATTCAAAATGTTCATCAATATATACATATCTATCTTTTATGACCTTTTAAACTAGGCCGTACTCAAGTAATAAAATTAACAAACTGATAAATCTAACATAGCCATGATGGTTTACACAATATTTATGACATTTCAATTTTATGCTCGTTTAGTGCTTTGACATTGACATTTTCAATTGCTCTGACTCTGACATCTGCAGAAAATTCTCTGGTCACTGCGCTGGTTTAAATTCTGAATCACAGATTCAAATTTAAAAATTCATTAGAATCTGGATTGGTTATTTAGGAATTAAACTGACTGTAGTTCATTAAATTTGATCCCGCGCGAGATCATAAAATTTGCTCTACGTGAGTTTTTGAGAAGAATTATGACTATAATAAATAATTTGATTTCTTATTTTACATAATAATCTTCTCAATATTATTCTAACTCCATTTTTTTATAACTGTCTGCATGCACATTTCATTACTTTAAAATATTAAATTGCTCCAACTCCCAAACATTGATTACATTTTCATTTTGATTTTTCCAATTAAGTAACTTTGATATTTTCAACAGCACTGGCAGTTTTATATCTTTATATGACCGTGCCACATCACAAGAAACCGTCACATTTTATTTGTTATGTCAAACTATCAAAAGCATTAAAAAATTACGAATATTTTGTTCGTAATTTTCGTAATTTTAGTTTCGGTAAATTCAATGTTGCATGTCGATCAGGGCTTTTCAGTAAAATACTTTTTAGTTGCTTCGAAATGTTTAACTACTTTGTCAGATTTATTACTTGCCTGATGACACTCTTGCTTTTTATGATACCCATATCCAACTTCACGGCATTGTTGTTTATAACTAAAAATAGATTCTCTTTTGTAAAAAAAAAAATTTTTTTTATAAAAGACGGGGATGTCGAGATGGGTGGGAAGTGGGGGGAGTACGATTTATACTTTAATGGAGTTTTCCGAAAAGTGAAGNGAGGGGTAAGGGGAGGCGGAGTGAGAAAGGGGAAATAGGGGAGGAGCCATTATTAATACCTTGTGCTGCATTCCTTCTTATAAGAGGTTTTATATGAAGTAGAACATTCCTTTTCATATCGTGTACTGCATTCATCTTTATATTCAGTCCTTAATATTCATTCTTATATTCAGTGCTTAATATTCATTCTGATATTCAGTCCAATTAATATTCATCCTTATATACAGTCCTTAATATGCATCCTTATATTCAGTCCTTAATATTCATCCTTATATTCAATCCTTAATATGCATCCTTATATTCAGTCCTTAATATTCATCCTTATATCCAGTCCTTAATATTCATCCTTATATTCAATCCTTAATATGTATCCTTATATTCAATCCTTAATATGCATCCTTATATTCAGTCGTTACTATTCATCTTGATATACAGTCCTTAATATTCATACTTATATTCACTCCTTAACATTCATTCTTATATTCAGTCCTTAATATTCATCCTTATATTCAGTCCTTAATATTCATCCTTATATTCAATCCTTAATATGCATCCTTATATCCAGTCCTTAATATTCATTTTTATATTCAGTCCTTAATATGCATCCTTATATTTAGTCCTTAATATTCATCCTTATATTCAGTCCTTAATATGCATCCTTATATTCAATCCTTAATATGTATCCTTATATCCAGTCCTTAATATTCATTTTTATATTCAGTCCTTAATATGCATCCTTATATTTAGTCCTTAATATTCATCCTTATATCCAGTCCTTAATATTCATCCTTATATTTAGTCCTTAATATTCATCCTTATATCCAGTCCTTAATATGCATCCTTATATTCAGTCCTTAGTATTCATCCTTATATTCAGTCCTTAATATGTATCCTTATATTCAGTCCTTAGTATTCATCCTTATATTCATTCCTTAATATTCAGCTCTTAAATTCATTCTTATATTTAGTCCTCAATATTCATCCTTCTATTCATTCCTTAATATTCATCCTTATATTTAATCCTTAATATTTATTCTTATATTCAGTCCTTAACATGCATCCTTATATTCAGTCCTTATAATTCAGCCCTTTAATTTATTCTTATATTCAGTCCTCAATATTCATCCTTATATTCAGTCCTTAATATTCATCCTTATATTCAGTCCTTAATATTCAGCTCTTAAATTCATTCTTATATTTAGTCCTCAATATCTATCCTTATATACAGTCCTTAATATAGGAATTCGTTCATTCATTCAAGTATATTTAGTTAAGCTTTAAATGTTGATATTAGTTTTTATCAATTCATTCTGTTACAGTGCATAACTTGTTTTTTAATCAACTCCTAGATATTAGCATTCACTAATGCAATTAATTGTAATCTATTCATCTGCATATACCTACAGTACACAGTCTTGAATGGTATCATTCTTATTTAATTTAACAATTTCCCAATTTTAAAAAAATCCATTTAATAATTTGTTTACCTGTAGGTGTTTTGACACTTGGTTTCATAAACAGTTTCACAGGCCTGTCTATAGGAGGTCTTGTAGGTCGTTTCGTAGGTTGTATGACATTCCTAAATATATTTAGAACGTCATGCATTACGGTAAACTACTGATTAAAGAAAAAAAACCGTAACACGAGAAAATTTTTAACTAAAAATCATGGAACTTTGAAATTAAAAAAATTCGGAATTAGATTTTCAATTATATTATTAATAGAAATTAAAGAATCTTCTAAGATACATGTTAGGTTAGGAAATTGATGAATATTGATTATTGAACATTATCTGCTCATTCAAATGTCTGAGGGTAATGACCTTTTCAATTGATTTTTAATATTATTTTACTGTCTCGAAATAATAATATTATTTTACTGTCTCGATATATTAATATTATTTTACTGTCTCGAAAAAATTAGTTCGTTTTAAAATTCAATTGTATTTTTTAATCATTAAAAAATACGTTATGCTGGTAACGTAGTTAAACCTTAAAGATTAATAAGGAAATTTAAAAAAGATTTTTCATGCTTAATAATTGCAATCTTGCAAACTTTTTTTTCAAGAGTGCAGGACCGTAAGAACATAATTAAAGTTGTTTAAGAATAAATATGCAAAACTTATAATAAAGCTTCAAAACTAATCACGACAATGCACATTTTAATCCATATTTGCATATCTTTTCTGAAGACACGAGGGAGGGGGCATNTAGATAGATAGATAGATAGATAGATAGATAGATAGATAGATAGATAGATAGATAGATAGATAGATAGATAGATAGATAGATAGATAGATAGATAGATAGATAGATAGATAGATAGATAGATAGATAGATAGATAGATAGATAGATAGATAGATAGTTTGACTAAGGAAAATCCTTCCGTCTTCTTTTTCAATTACAAGTAGAAATGTCAATTGTATCTTTTATAAGGTCACGAAAACTATCAATTAGAATATAAAGTTCTCAATCATATCTATCACGTGTGGGTTATAGTGTGGGTTATAGTGTGGGTTATAGTACACAATTTTAGAAACTTGTCTTTATTTATCAGTTAGTTCTCCTTAACAATAAACTTGAAAAGAATTGAGTTTTTATCACAAACTTTGCTTTTCTAATTCCTTTATCTTTGCAACCCAATGTCCTAGATCTTAGATATCTCAAACTATGAATTATGGAAAATAAAATTTACTAAGTTTGAAATATCATATACTTACACAATCAGATTACAAAGAAAGAGTGATTAGAAAATTGAGTTTGTTGTAAAGACTCAATTCCTTAGATCTTAAAATTAGAAGAATTTTTCTAAAAACTTTGATTTTAGTTTGTTCCTTAAATTCGATCTTTTTGCATCAATTTTAATTTTTAGCCGAGTTCATAGCTAAAAATCAGAAAGAGTATGTCAAACTAAAGTGAAAATAGTAGTACAAAGGAGTTGAGTTTTTGCCACAAAGTCTGATTTTCTAATCTCTATATTTTTGTAACCCAATGTCGTAGACCTTAGATATTTCAAACTATTAATACTTATAGATAAAATAATCTAAGTTTAAAATATCAAAGGTTTGCACCAAAAGATTGCAAAGATATTGGAATCAGAAGATTTTAGTTTGTGGCAAAAACTCAATTCCTTTGTGACCTCGTAGCACATCTAGTTTTGATTTTAAGCACACGTATGACAAAAGCACATTTCATTGCTGAAAATTAAAAACTTTTGTAGTTTGCTTATTATCACTTCAATGAGAAGAGGGCATTGGGACATTTCATAGAAAGAAATTTCATAGAAAGACATGTCACAGATCATAATATTATAGATAGGACATTTCATAGATATGACATTTCATTGATATGACATTTCATAGATAAAGACATTTCATAGATAGGACTTCATAGATATGGCATTTCATAGGCAGTGAATATTTTCTTTAGACAGAGGAGATTTTTATTTAAGTGATCTTTTTTGTCCATCTTCATATTTTCCCTTGTCTATGAAAAATCTTATCACTAAGGCTATTTCTTCCTTTTACCATGTCAGAAAAACAACTGAGACGTTGCGGTTTTACAAGTTTGTTATGCGGATTTTTAACAATTCACTCTAGCATATTCATTCAACAAAAGCACTATTTGTGAAAAACTTTTAAATTGACAGAAAAAGTTGAATTTAAATTTTTGAAAAAATAAAAAAAACATACTCTTCACATGTAATGCTGTTTTAATTGTTTCGTTGTAGCGATGTATATGGGGAGCACTTTATTGACACTTTCCCCTGTCAATGAAAAATCTAAGCGAAAAAAAATCGTAGATAAAAAATCTCCCCTGTCAATGTTAAATCTTCTCTATCTATGAAGTGTCTCATCATATGAAATGTCCTATCTGTAAAATGTCGTATCTATGAAATATTCGTTTATTAAATGTCTTTCTGAAATGTCCCAACGCCGAGAAGAGCTATGTTGAAAATGGAATAGACTCTTTGCCACTATCTCAAATGTTTTAATCCGTCTATCTTTGCCAACTAATGAGGTATAAGTCTTTGATATTTCAAACTAAGATTGCATATTCCAATAGAATTCATAGTTTTGGGTTTTAGAAATTAGAACATCAGAGTTTTATAACAAATTCTAACGTGGAATTATGTTAGTTTGATGTTCCTCTCTTATCAAAAAGTAACTGAACTTAAGTAATGTTCTCACCAGAAGTGTTAGCATTGCTAAATCTAGGGTGCTACTGATTTCTGTACAGAAGCCAAGGGTTTATATACCAGTGTTAACTATACCAGAAGAAATGCGCGGTTTTCATTAAGATTCATGGCGATTTGTTCAGTTAAAGGGCACGTCAAACGCAGATCTTCAAAAGGGGCAAACTTCATGTGGAAACGATTTAAAAATTAACTGAACTGTAATTGCATGGTAGCTATTGTGAATTGGGCATGCCCAGTTGCCCACACATTCACATGAATTGTAAAAATTGTAAATTAAAATCCAGTAAATGTTCATTTGCACTTCTTATTTCTTCGAACAAAAATCACACATCAAAGGAATGATTCCAACTGTCCCTCCATTCATAGAGTGACATGTTTGATTCACAACGGTACCCTTTAATCCTGTCTTTGATCAAGAATAAAGTTGTGCTAAGCTACTTGTCTAAGCTACTTGTCTAGCTTCAGCTCAGTTATTTTCAAGTGCAGCGTCTCAGTAAAAGTGATTCACAAGTGAAAGGAAAAGAAATCAATGAGAATCAAAAAAATACCGTCATGTGAAATGCCTTTTAGAAATAGGCAAATTGTTGTCAAAAGGGTTGTGCTTTTGACAATTTTACAGTTTATGAATTTTATATCTTTCAATTCTTATTTGTTCGTAATGAAATTTTTATTTAATCAAATTTAAAATTCATACCAATATAAGTTTTTGTTATTCCTAGGGCAATTAGAATAATTACTTAATGCTTCATGTAATGTTAAACAGAATAAGTTTGAGAATTTTCAAATTATAGACATGCGGGAAACAGTTTGTTTAAAATGCTTGAAAATAAATCATCCATATTCTCTAATTTAACAGATAAAATGTGGAAACTTAGATTTTAGAAATAATTCAGTAGTTGATTTAGTCTTCATAAGATAATTTTTGTGTACAGTGATTTATTTTGTAAGTTATAAAAGTGAGTTTTGTCTTGAATTTTGGATTATACTAAAAACGGGAAAATGGGTTTTGTCTCGAAAACGCGACAATGTTTCAAATTCAGGATATGTTCGAAAATGGAAAATCTAATATTGTCCTAAATACGGTCCAGAGCTCCTACAAAAAGAACTCCTATTATATTTTTGATTGAAAAAAAGTTTAAAATTGGGAATTGTTGTCCTCGTCATGTTTAATTAAATGTTGATTATAGTTTTTATTATCGACTTTTACTCTGGATATGGACCGGGATCCCAAAAACCCAGTCTTTCAATTCCAAGTATTAGTTTTGGAACTAATGTCCCCTTAACTATAATTCTGTAGATCTTTCAAAAATTTACTTGTGCATTTTTAAACTTTAAAGTTTCGCTATTTTTTCTGTTTTTATTTTTAAATCTGAAAATATGAAAATATGATTGATGTTAAAGTTGATAAGAAATGTTGTGAATTTCAAAACTCTCAATTTTCTGTAAAAAAATTCAATTTCCTCTAAGAATTTTGTTTTCAACAATTCTTAAAATATTCAGAAATTAAATCTGCTTTAATTTTATTTTCCCTGGGTACATCTAGGTAGCTTAATTGCATGTTATTTAATAAAAGGTTGGTATTCACGAAATGGGTTTGGTATTCTAACCAAAAGTTCAACTCTAAACTAAATTAGCATTTCTTAAATTGAAAGAAATATTAAGAACCCCGAAGTATGTAAAGTTTAACCTACAACAGTGTGTCTCAAATAGGTTTGAAAGCCATAAAAAAACGTGAAATTAATAAGTATAAAATGAAAATAAAATGTGGCCAGATAAATGCACCAGGACGTGATACCACAATATAAAACATAATATAATCCAGCAGCCCCATCTCGCCGTTTGTTATCTCTATTGAGCCTTATAAACTAACTAAATTAGAATTTGGTCTGTGTAGTTTTTGTAATCTGTTAAATGCTAAGAAATTATAAGATATATCGACAGCTGGGTTTCTATTTTATAAAATAAAGAGTGTTTTCTTTGAAATACCCAGATGTTATCGAAGTTATTTTATTGTATTACCTGCATGTAGAACTTTAGGTACCCTAAACGCAGGGTTACCTAGCTTCAAGTACCCTTGCGGAGAAACAGTTTTAATCTCAAAATTTAATATTATTCTGAAAAATATGCGAAGAGATACAAAACACTTTCCAATTGAGAACATCTTTAAAATTCTATACATGCGCGCTCTGAGAATTCAAATCAGGAATTAAGTTCTACGGCATATTTTAACCCTATCACTACTGCAGGAGGATGGGGGGAGGGAGGAGGTGGGTGTTACTGTCAAGTCCCACCCATCTACTTCGTTTTTTCACAACTGAAAAAGTATTTGTCAACCCAACCTTTACAATTTTTACTTTTCCGAAAAACTAGAACCCACAATT